TTTCTATTTTAAGTAATTTTTTAGATTTTTAAAATTACCCATTATACATGAGTATAAACACATCTTAAAATTTAAAATTAAAAGATATTATGTTAAAAATGTTTTAAATTTTAAATTGATGTGTAATGATTGTTTGCCTACTTAATAAGTTGAATTCTCCAAATGAATTGGGACGGAGGAAGTATGAGTTGTTTTGGGAAGACAGTTAAAAATTAGTTTTTAAATTTTTTTAGTTTTTTTTTTAAAAAAAATTAAGTAAAAAAATAGAGAGATAATGTGATTCAAAATAGGTTAAAAGCTGATTTTTAGAACGTCTCCAACGGTTCATTACTTTTTTTTATCAAATCTGAGTAAAAAATTTCTGATTTTCTCAATCTGATATGGGTTGTTCCAGCGGTGCATCAAAAGGTAAGGGTCGACCGGTAAGACTAATTTTTTTTTTTAACTTGTTTGAACCTACCTATTTGAAGAGAATCGGTCGACCGGTTGGTCAACCGGTCGGACATTCGGCTGGTTGACCGGTTGGCCACGCCCAACGGTAACGCACAGTGAAATACTGAAATCTACAGCGTGTTCTCACTTTGATGAAAATTTTGTTACATTCTCATTTTGAAATCAATTTGGTGAAACCATTAGAGTGAAAAAAAAGTGACTTTTTCATCAAATTTCAAATTTGATGCTAAGTTTGATGAACCGTTGGAGATGGGCTTAGCTTTTAGCTATGTTTCCCAAAAAGGCCATATAGCCTTCATTTGGGAAATATGTTGATTTTTTGGCTTTTTTAATCTGAGTTAAAAAGTCTTGTTTGGGATGAACTTTTAACTTTTATAAAAGAAAAAATAAAATGATTATAATTTAGATGTGATATTTTATTTTATTAATTTTTTAATATATTTTATTTTTTTACGATTATTTTATTCCAACCTCACTAGAAATTCTATTTCTACACACTTATCTACCTTAGTGCACACACTTAATGAAACTTTATTTTAATACCAATTATACCCTAAAATAAAATGACCTTTAATGGATATCAAAATCCTAGCCAACCCATATCATCTCTCTCTCTCCCTCTCTCTCTCTCTCTACCACCAACAACAATAAACAAACCCACAAATTATTTTTGCTTTCTTTCCCTCTTTAAAATCAATTCAATTTGTTTCGGTTACAAATCCAATGGAAAACAACAGAGAGGAAAATAATTTTGAATGGTTCATCGTTAACAAAAATAAGACCAATTCTACTCAGAAAATCAGTATTGAATGATCAAAACTTAATTTTTTGACGATTTGAGAGGCTTCTGTGACTTGTCGTTGTTTTCATGGGTGTGACTTGTCGTTGTCTTCATGGGTAAACAAAATTAATATGTAATCCAAATTCAACAAAACATAGAAACAGTACCAATTTATTATAGAAACAGAAAATCCAAAATTACATCTAGCATAGAAAGTTCACAGAGCTATCTATACCACTATATCAAGTGCAAACACACACATATATAGTTATATAAATGGATTTAAGAAAACAAACCCAAAAGCAGAATTCAAAATCTAATCAATTGGAGTAAGTGACCCACAGAGAAATCATAAGGGCAAGCGATAGTAAACAAATCAGGGAGTTGGGTAAAAAGTGTGTACAATATTTTAGTTGATGGTTATTGTTAGTGTAGCATTATGTTAGTGTATCATTATGTTAGTGTAGTGCATTATGTTAGTGCATCATTATCTTTGTGTAGTGTAGCATTATGTTAGTGTATCATTATGTTAGTGTAGTGTAGCATTATGTTAGTGTAGTATCTTTGTGTAGTGTAGCATTATGTTAGTGTATCATTATGTTAGTGTAGTGCATTATGTTATGAAATACAACATATAGAAACAATTGTGCCTCTCTCTCTCTCTCTATTCGCTCATCTCTATCTTCTCTTACTTTCTCCAATTATTATTTCTTGGTATCAGAGCACAGTGTTACATTTCTGGCATTTTGCAATTTTGGTGTTTAGTCCCATCCACAGCGGCACTACATCAAACCACTCGGAATTTCCTCACGATTCCAACGGCACCAAGCCCGGCCTCAGAAAACCTTTCACGCGCCCACACGCGCCGCCAGTGTCCACTGCGCGTCACCATTTCCGCCAAGGCATCCTCTATAAATAGAGTGCCTTCTTTGTGTAATTGAAATACAACATATAGAAACAATTGTGCCTCTCTCTCTCTCTCTATTCGCTCATCTCTATCTTCTCTTACTTTCTCCAATTATTATTTCAGTTATAATTGGAATACGTGGTGTGTGGAATGAGATAAATAATACTTAATCAAATTCATAACTGTGTGTGTTGACAAATAATGTGTACTGAGATAAGTAAATGTGTGGAAATAAGATTATCTCAACCTCACATGTCAAACAAAAATCATAATTGGGCCGACACATATATTTGCCTCCTAATCACCTAATAATTTTCCGAAATTCACACTCTGCATGCCAACTATTTTGGAGGGAAGTGAGTGGTTGGTGTTGTCGACCGCACGGGGCCGCTGGGTATTCCGGTCCTTTTCTTCTTTACATGCTTTACGAGGACCTATCTCCTCCTTTTGTCCAACCCTGTTTTTTTGGGATTTTTTTTGTTTTGTTATTTTTTCTCTAAAAATTAATGTTGATTTAAAATTCTGAATGAAACAAATATGGTTCGTTGGGTAAATGGGTTGATTTTTTGACTTTTAAATTTTTTTTAATTTATTTTAACCTGAGGTTAAAAAGTTTGATTTGAAAAACACTTTAGGCTTTTTTAACTTTTTTATGAGAAAAAGAACATAATGATTATGAGTTGGATGTGATGTTTTGTCTTATTAAGTTAAAAAGTCTATTTTATTTTTTGTGATTAAAATAACCAAAAAAGTCCCAACTTTTACTTTCCAAACAAAGCCTATATATTCCTAGTTCAAATATATACGTATATAGTAGTGTGTTGACAATTATCTTGTTTTTTTTTTGAAAATTTCATTTTTGTTGTGTTTTTTCAATAGCAAAGGCTAAATGCTTGCACGGTCTAAAAAATGAGAAAGTTAGAGTTTGATTTATTTTTTAAAATTAAATTTTGTTTTTAAATTATGATTCGAATGAAACATGTTAATAAAATATATTTTTAAAATACAATTTAAAATTACTTTCAAAATTATTTTTTTATTATTAATAAATTAATCAATTACTTTTTTTCTTTCATCGCTTCGCTCCTCTCACATTCTCTCATATTTCTCTTAATTGAAGAAATTGAAAAAATTACAAATTATTCCAAAATTATTTCCAAAACTCATAATCAAATAATTTTTTTTTTCAATTATGATTCAAAAACTCAAAATTCAAAATATAATTTTACACTTACATCATGATTCTAAAATTAAATCATAGTGAAAACAATTTTATATTTTGTAGTACAAAACATGTTCATATGCTCAGCATTCTTTTCAATTCTTTTATAAATTTCCCATCTGTCTCCCAACACCTTATCCAATCCAATTTTTTTATATGCTTAGAGAAGAATTGTGAGTTGTGTGCAACTTCATTGCTTGAAATTATGGCGCTGTTTGAAAAGTAAAGGCTGAGATGGAAATAGTCAATATGATAGAAACATTAATAAGTACATACAAAGAAAAAAATCCAATATGATAGAACTAGTTAATAAGTACATACAAAGAAAAAATCCAATATGATAGAAATAGTTAGCAAGTACATAGAAATAAAAAAACCCATCATGTAACTTTGCAAAATCTGAGAATAAATTGCCAAATGATGCTTTTGTCCCTATGATTCAGTAGGAGTTGCTTGCATTTCTGTGAAAGAGTACTGTCCCGTCATCCCCTACTATGCTTGGGAATAACATCGTTATTATAGAGGCATTTTAGTCATTTATCATTTTAATGTCATTTTAAACATATTTTTTAATATAAAAATAAAAAAAAAAGAAAAAAAACCGACCCATATTTTCAAACACAAAAATTAACTTACTGACTTATTTGAATCACATTATCTTTTTATTTTTTTTACACAATTTTTCAAAAAAAAAAACCAATAAGTTAATTTTATTTTTATTTTTCAAAACAAGCCTAAAATAGCTTACTAAAATAGCAAAAAATGTAACCTATTCCCAAAAAGATCCTATAGTGATTCTTTTAAAAAATGAGAAAAGAAAACATTAAAAAAGAAATAAAAGCCATAAACCATTTTTCAAGTTTAATTTTTTAATTTTTTTTTTTTCCGTCTTCATCGCCATTTTCTTTTAATAATAGTATGTTTTAACAAAAAAAATATTAAATAAATGGTGAAGAAGAGAGTGGGACTGGAAAAACTGGAAAAGGCTAGTGGTGGGATTTGGGATTTGGGTTGACAACCGACGGGGTAGTTGATGATTCGAGATGGACAAAAAAAACAAAAGGACATTTTTTTTTCCCTCATTTCACTTATGTTACATTTAAAAAAAAAAATTAAATTGAAATACAATTATTTTCACATTTATCATTTATTTGATTTAAAAAAGGTCAACTTGTTTGGTTACTCTTTTTAAAAAGACTTTTAAAAAAATTTTATTTTTTTATTTTTCATATTTTTTTGTTTTTACTATTTTTTTTAATATTTTAAATATTTTTTTAAAACTTTTTAAACACACCTAACATAAATATACCTAAAAAAATAAAAAAAAATTACAAAAAAATCTTTTAAAAATTTACTAAATACCAAAAATATAAAAAACTATGAAAATTTAGTACATTTTTTATATTTTTATGTATTTATTATTTTTTTAAAATATTTTTTTACAATTTTTTTACTTTTTAAATATATTTAAGTGAGATGCATTTAAAAAATTAAAAAAATATTTTAAACTTTAAAAATATTCATTAAAAACAAAAAAAATACGAAAATTAAAAAAATTAATTTTTAAAAAATTTAATTTAAAAAACTCAAATCAAAGGCACAAGGTTTGTTATCAAATATAGTACTCCTGTATAAAATTGAAAAATAAAAAATAAAAAGCAAAACAAAAAAAAGACAGTTTGGAAAAAAACTCAAAAAAAAACCAGCGCCCCAAGGCGGCTGTACAAGTGTCAGACTGGCACTCTGACATTTACAGTCAAAATTTAAAATAAAGATTTTTATCCAATGTAGTCCATCTCCATTACACATCCATACACTTGACATTATAGAGCCTCCATCCACCGTTCATCAGCACCATCATTTCCAAACTACACTTCAAACGCAAATCAAGCCGTCCATCTCCTTCAACATAACCCTTTAGTAATTGCTGACTACAGCATAATGGTACAACATTTCACATCTCCCAATTTCTGTATCATCAAACCACAGTGTCCGATCAATGGGCCACCCTTAACATTAAACTCACGAGGTAGACCATGGATTGGACAATGTAGGTCCATGATACAGCGTATCAAAACACTACCTTAACATTTTAAATTTCCAAACCAAGTCGTTGACTTGCAAGATCACACCTAACCTCAGCCAATCCAACCCTTGATTTTTCAAGATCAAATTCCATCCACACGTTTTGCTGATGATGGTGTCCAATCACATAGGCCTCTATACCTAGAAGATCAGAGTTTCCAAATGTAAAGCAATACACTGAATCACTCCCTCTCACCATACCCGGTACCCGGTACAATAACCGCTCGTACGATACGCTCATTTCGGCGCCCCGAAACATCAGCGTCACGGGCGGTAACAGAGGCAAGCTGGTTCGGGTCAACTCGACCCGGTAACACAAATCCATTGCTCCTTGAAATACAAAGTTCGGGTCTTCGAAAACTCTCAACACCCCTTTTGTCTGTTGCATAAACTCGTTCTTCAGAGCGGTGTAAACCGGCCCGAGAAGGAAAGTGAACTGGGTGCCCGAGTCAACCATGGTTTGACCCGCACCGGTGTGGTCCGGTACGAAAACCGATTTGGGTAGCTGCAGGACTTTACCCGAAACCCGTATTCCCTCTAATTGAACCGAATAAGCGACCCGGTCGAAGTAGGGTAAAGGGGTCGAGATTTGAACCAAGGGTGTGTAGTTCAAGGGTCGGAGCCACGAAAAACTCGCCTCCCCGAAGAGTAGAATACCCGACGAGTCACGGCCCGATATGCAGTACGAGAACTTGGGAAAACCCATTTGGCTGACGAAAGATAAGGAGCCCCGGTTCATCCCAATCAACCCGGTTGTCTTCGAGTCTTCGTCCGGGGTTGAGCTCGACCCGGAATCCATGCACCCGAATACCATTCCAGGAAGATCCGACCCGCCGACCCGGAATGTGTCTCCAGCGAGGTTGCCTTCGACGGAGGAGGCGTCGGCGTAGGAGAGGACGGCGTGGCAAAGTTTCTTCGGGTCGCATGAAACTGGTAAGGTGAAGTCCCGGGTTCGGGTCCTGCAGGTGGGGGAGGAACAGGGTACGGGCGAATAGGAGGTGGAGCGAACCGGGTCGAATACGGTGGGTGTGGTTTGGGTCCGCTTGCAGTGGAGCCAGGAGAGCTCGCTGCCTGTGTCGAGCACCATGGTAACATTCTGGGGCGGCGATCCGACGGCGAGAGAGACAGTGAGAGAGACGTTATGGTGGAAAGAGAGCTTGTTGGGTGGTCTAAGAATCAACCCAGATGAGATTGCTTTGGTTTTGAGTGGTAAAATGACTGTTTTTGTTGTTGAACATAGACATAGATTTGATTGAATGAATATAAAAAGGATGAGGAATTGAAGATGAAGAGAGGCCATGGAGAGAGAGTTGAATGGGAATGGAAGGTTTGATGAATTTATATGTAAATTATAAGAGAGGGACTGTGTTATGCGTTTGGGGAACTTTGGTTGAGTGGTCCATGAGAGAATGCAATATATACAAGCAAAGGAGGGTTTAGAGGAATGGATGTTGGTGCAATTTGCCCTCCAAAGTTTGGGGTGGTCCTACTAAAGGGTTCCCTTATTACGAATAAAGGCAGGGGAGGGAGCCATCAAAGTGGTAGTGATTCAAGTCAGGGGGTGTCCTTCTCAATTTTAGTTTGGTGACCAGCCAACAACAATATGATTAGAGCTAAACAGTTTATCAGAGTTGTTTATAATTTATTAATTTATAATGTCTTATGTTTTTTTGAAAATTGTTTAGCTAGAGTGTGGACAATAAACGAGTCGAGACTATTGAAATTTAATTCAAAAATTTAAGGTGCTTTAAGAATTATTTATGTTCGGTTTGTTTATCTTTCGAATGAATCACAAATGAATTTTAATTAAATAGCAATTACGATTCAAACTTGGTCAATTTTTTATAGTGTACACAAGGCCAACCCAATTCATAATGAAGGATAAAGCAAAATCTCAATCTGACTCTTTCTGGTCATAGAAAATTCTATCTCTAAATTGTTTATTCTCAATTATAATGCACCTTTTTGTGGATAATTTTTATAAATTAATAGAAATTTATAAATATATAAAAATGTCATACTATTACAGTCTTAACACAAGTGTATTCAAATAAGTACGAATTTTTGTTATTAATTCTTTGTTTAAAAGTTAGTTTTTTTGACTTTTAATATCTTTTAAGTCATATCATCTCTCTACTTTTTTCATATTTTTTTTTAAAAAAAATCATAAAAAAATCTACAAGTTAACTTTTAGCTTACTTTTCAAAACATCCCTTTAGATAAAACATGAACATGAAAGGTTATCAATGCATTAGTACTAAAAAAAATCAACAATAATTCATTGAGAGGGAGATTAATGATATGGACTTTGTGCCAGACAGATTTGGGCCGGGCAGAGTTGTGCCAGACAGATTTGGGCCGGACAGAGTTGTGCCGGACAGATTGAAAGGTTATCAATGCATTAGTACTAAAAAAAATCAACAAACATTCATGTACATAAATTTTTTTCCCTCCATGATCCCTTCCGAGATTCGGAGGGAAAAAAAATTATGTACATGAATTATTAATCTAAAAATATAAATATAGGCTTATTTATCATATTATATAAAGTATATAATTTATTTAATATGAATGTTTTACTTGTTTTTATTATAAGAATGCCCTTCCTAACAAAAACCTTTTTTTGGTTAAGGAGTTAACATAAATAAAAAAAAAATTGATGTTGAACTTACAACAATATTTAGGGGATTTTTTTTTTAATGTCCTTAATATTAAGATTTTATAAGATAAATGACATACAATATTTACTAGCTAAGGTCCCTTAACATTTTCATAGAGAAAATTCGACTCATAAATTTCACTCGCCTCAGAGAAATTTCATTCCCGACATAGAGAAATTTTAATTTTCACAGAGAAATTTCATCGAAGGATCTTAGTTAATAAAAAAAACATCTTCAATCTCTCCTACTATACAAAATTGGAGAATGATGTTTCTCTAGTTTTCTCTAATATCTAATTAATGTTGAATGGTTTTTTCTCATTCGTCAAATTATTCAAAATTACTAATAATTTTCCTCATTCATCAAACTATCTTTTAATTATCAAACTATCAAAAAATTTGAAAGTGAAACTATAAATATATCGCGTATGCACTATAGTCTAAAAATTGGTACCGAAATTAGATCCCTACAACATTATTGCTCTTGCTGGTAATAATCCAAACTAGCTGGACTAACTCAATTGTACACTTATGTCTAAGAAGTTAGGGGTCAATCTTTGTTAAATGCAAATATTTTTAATTTATTAAACGCTTTATTGCATTGTTAATTTTATTCTTTATTATGGATTCTTTGTTAGACTGGTTGTTGAATTATGATTGTTCAAATGCAATTTTTTTTTTTTTTTTCTATATTGTAAGTAATCTCCTACTGATTGATTGAAAAAAAAAAAGAGAGAGAGAAAAAAAAAAGAAAGAAGAGAATTTCAAATCAGTGTATAAGTTAAAAATAATTATAAATTAATGACAACTTTATCAATATTAATAAGTATAATTTTAATTTTAATTTTTTTTCACACGTAATATTTTTTTGCAGTTACACCTGTCGTAATAATTTAAAAAAAAATAAAAAATAAAAAATCCCCAAATCAACAAACTATTACCAGATGTTCCCCTTTGCATCAAATCCAAAGATTTATCTCAAGTATTAGGTTCTCATTACATCAAATCCAAAGACGTGTCTCCAAGTATTGGGTTCTCTTGAAAGCAGTGTGGAGTGTTGGTATTGGGTTCTCTTGAAAGCAGTGTTCTACCCCTTAAAACACGGAAAATGTTATGAATATTAGAGTTAATTTGAGATGTTTTAAAAAAGTGTATTTTTTAATTTATTGATTTATATAGGTTGGATTTAAATTGGGTTTGATGTGATGTGTTAGAGAGATGATGTAATTTAAATAAGATGATGCGACTTAAATATGATAGTGACTTTTTGACTTTTTGTATTATTTAATTTAGGGAGCTTTTTTGATAAATCCATTTTATAAGAGTTTTATTCCATCCAATCCATATTCTTTTTGACTATTCCATTAGGTCCAATTTGAGATAAGAAGACCAAAATACCATTTTCATCTACTTATGTCCAATTTAGTTCACATTATTTTCTTATGTTTCAATAAGTTCTATAGGTGACATAATTACCAAAATACCCTTAATGTGAATGTTCACACCGTCAATATAAATGTTTATATCGTTAATGTGTAAGGTCCCGGCTCATGTCGATCCTCGTGGGTGCCTGGAAAAATTCGAGTCGGGCCGAGCCGGCCCACAAGCCAAAAAAATAGGCCCGACCTGGCCCGTTGATAATATGAATATTCACATTGACAAGTTAACATTCACATTAACAGGAGTATAAAATTGGCCTGCGGCCCGTGGGCGGCCCGAAACTAGCCCGTCGCCTGGGGCGGGCCCGAGCCGGCCTGTTCACAATATGAATATTCACATTAATATATTAACATTAACATTAACATTGACAAGAGTGTAAAATTGGCCCATGACCCGTGGGCAGCCCGAAGCCCGAGCCCGGGCCAGGGTCAGGGCGGGCCCGGCCCGTTAACAATGTGAATATTTACATTGACATGTTAACATTCACATTGATAAGAGTGTAAAATTAGCCCGCGGCCTGTAGTCGGCCCGAAACCTGCCTGCGGCTCGTGGGCTGCCCTTGGCGAGCCCGGCCCGACCCGTTGATAATGCAAATATTCACATTGGCATGTTAACATTCACATTGATAAGAGTATAAAATTAGCCCAAGCCCCGTGGCTGCCTGAAACTAGCCCACGGCCTGTGGGCGGCCCGGGGTGGGCCCGACCTGGCTTGTTGACAATGTGAATATTCACATTAACATATTAACATTCACATTGATAAGAGTGTAAAATTGACTCGCGTCCCATGGGTGGCCCAGGGCGAGCCCGGTCCGGCCCGTTGATAATATGAATATTCACATTGACATATTAATATTCACATTGATAGGAGTGTAAAATTGACCCGTGGCCCGTGGGCGGCCTGAAGCCCGCCCGCTGCCCAGGGCGGACCCGGCCCGTTGACAACGTGAATATTCACATTGACATGTTAACATTCACATTGATAAGAGTGTAAAATTGAATCGCGTCCCATGGGCGCCCCGAAACCCGTGGGTGGCCTAGGTTTGGGTCCGGGCCTACCCCGGGCCGCGGGCGAGCTTCGGGCAGCGGACAAGTTTTACATTTCTATCAATGTTAATGTTAACACGTCAATGTGAATATTCACATTGTCATGGGTCGGGCCAAGCCCATCTCGGGCTGCGATCGGGCTTCGGGCCGCCCACAGGCTGCGGGTTAATTTTACACTCTTATCAATGTGAATGTTAACATGTCAATGTGAATATTCACATTGCCAACGAGCCAGGGCCGGACTGCCCACGGGTCACGGGCCAATTGTACACTCTTATCAATGTGAATGTTAACATGTCAATGTGAATATTCGCATTGTCAACAGGCTAGGCCGAGCCCGCCCCGGGCCGTGGACGGGTTTCGGGCAGCCACGGGGCGCGGGCTAATTTTACACTCCTATCAATGTGCATGTTAACATGTCAATGTGAATATTCACATTGTCACGGGTTGGGCCAAGCCCGCCTCGGGCTGCGGTCGGGCTTCGGGCCGCCCACGGGCTGCGGGCCAATTTTACACTCTTATCAATGTGAATGTTAACATGCCAATGTGAATATTCACATTGTCAACGGGCCAGGCCGGGCCCGCCCTAGGCAGCGGGCGGGCTTTTGGCCGTCCATGGGCCGCGGACCAATTTTATACTCTTATTAATGTAAATATTAACATATCAATGTGAATATTCACATTGTCAACGGGCCGGACCGGGCCCGCCCCGGGCCGCCCATGGGCCGTGGGCGGGTTTCGCGCGCGCCACAGGACGGGGGCCAATTTTACACTCCTATCAATGTGAATTTTAACATGTCAATGTGAATATTCACATTGTCAACGGGCCGGGCCTGCCCTGGCTCGCGGGCGGGTTTCGGGCCGTCCACGGGCCAATTTACATTCCTATAAATGTGAATTTTAAAATATGAATGTTCACATCATTAAATTGCTAATCGTTGAAAAAATATTTATAAGGGTATCAAAATTAAATGTAAGGGCATAAGTGTCTAAGAAAATAGTGTAAATCAAGAAAATGGACTTTATGGAATAAAATATACATACATGGGACTAAATGAGTTAAAAAATTCCTTCATGGACTTCTTGGGTTAAAACACTTCTAAATTGGACTTATCAATAAAAATCCCTTTAATGTATGCCAAACTAACCCTTAAATAATTTATCAAATATTTTATTAAATCTTTTATATAAGTGTTGAATTCACACAAATCTATACTATATATGAAGTAAAAGGGAGTTTTTAACCCCAAAACTTGTGGGAGCTCCAATCTCCCAATCTAAATTTCTTGATTTTTTGATTTAAAAAAAAAATCTTAGCATTTATTAACATCTCTCAACTTTCAAGTCTTACCTTCATAATAACACTTTAATCCACTAAGAATAAGC